GCCCAGAGAGATCCCTGAAAAGTTATTGGATGTGCTCGCCCAGAAAGGGGGCATGATGAGGAAAGAGTTAAACAGGACAGAGTTCTGGGGGTCCCCAAAGTTGAGGAGACAGAGAGAAGATTTAGCTCCGAGGACAAACTGAGAGGAGGGGGTGAGGGCGGTGGATGTGGAAAGGAGAGGTCGGATTCTGGTATATTCTGAAGGCGGAATTAACTGGCAGGTGAAATTCAGAGGCAGGGGAGGGGGTCAAGGATGACTCCTCGGTTTTGGGCCCGGACAGATGGAAATCTGAGGGTTCCATTATCTGAGGGTGGGGACATTTGAGATGGGCTCTTCCCTCTTAGCAAGTCGCCATGGCTGTGACTATGACCCTAAAAGCACTAGGTATTATTTACTGAACCCATCTACCTGCCGGCCATGCCAACACTCAGTCCTCCTCACACCCTCGAGAGGTGTGGGCTAGCATCGCCGCAGCCACTCGATCAATGAGGAGCAGCGAGGGAGGCTCGGAGAAGCAGGAGGTCCCACAGCCCATCAGAGATCAACAGAAGCCAGGTCTCACCTTCGCAAGTAATACGGAACCACTTGCTGCGCCAAGTGCTATTGGAGTGTCGTTATGGGGTTCTTAAGACCCTGAGACCCCCCTCCCCCACCCTACCGCACCCCACCCCCATCGCCGCTGCCAGGACCGCATCCTTTGTGTGTCCTTTGTGTTCGCCTAACTACCTGTGGGGGGTGGGTTGAGGGTGGCAGATTCAGGGAGAGTGGGGGGTGGGGGAACCACCCCAATGTGAGCCCTTACAAGCCCCCATTTCAGGGCTAGCCCGGGGCAACCTCCACCGCACTTCCCCGTGACTAAGACAGGTGCAGTGGAAAGTTTGGGGCAGGGAGGAGTGACTCCCAAATTTTACCCTAAAGCCCTGACCTTGTGCTCAGTCTAGACCACCTCGGCCAGTTTTTCTTTAGGCGGGACAGGGTAGGGCACGGGAAGGGACCCCTCACCCCGAGGCTGGGTCTGCGGGCCCGCAGCCCAGTTCCCGCCTGCAGGGTCCCCGGCCCAGCTCGGCCTCCAAAAGCCGGAGCCCAAGGGGCTGGGATGTGGTGGCTGGTCCCCTGAGGAGAAGGGGCAGAAGAGGAAGGGTCCCCATAAAAAACCACCTCAGTCGAGCTCCTACAACCCGAGGTGGAGAGCCCTCCCAGGTCGGGGCTTGGCTTGGCTGAGGGCCCGGCCAGCCGCTCACCTCAGTCCCGGAGAGGAGTTTGCGCTGGGACCCGAACTCGCTGCAGCTCTGACAGGACCAAAAGTGGAAGAGGTGCAACACTAACCCTGGAGCAGAGAGCGGGGGGCGGGGGATACGCATGCGCCTGACCCGCCCTCAGGCCCCTCCACTGGCAACTCCCCTCCCCTCGCCTCGCCCCCCCCCCGGAGCGGGTCTTGCCCCTGCCTGCTGGTGCCGCCAAGGAAGTCTGATTGGGGTGCGCTGCCCGCGGCCCGACCTCCGCGCGTGCCCTCTGCGTGGGGCTGCACCTCGCCCTTACCTTGGCCCGATTAGGGCTGCGGTTTTGGGTTTTTACTGAATGTGGGGTGTCGGATTTTTTACTTGAGTGGCTACCCTTTGGGAAATGTTCTGAGAGGGCCTCTTTGAGGCCATGGAGCCTGCACTGCCACAAGCAGGCTTTTTTGGTAGCTTGGGAGAGGGTTATCTATTCCTGGAGGGAAAGAGGTGCCAGAGAGCATCATGTCCGTTCCTGGAGGGAAAAAGTGGCAGAGGAGTGGTTATCCTGTCAGGGCATAAAAAACCTGGTATGAGGTGGATATGTGCCAAGGCTAAAACATTCCCCAGACTCCCTTGCAGCTATCATAGTCACAGTCTGACCAATGAGATGTAAGCAGGGGTTACTGGAGGGGCATCCAAAATGTTCCTTAAAGGATGGACTGAGCTAGCCATAGCTCCCTTCCCCTTCCCCTCCCCCATTCCCTTTTTTTCTTAACTGGGTGAGGCTCTGGTGATCATTTTGGGGCCATAATGTGGCCATGAAGAAAAGTCCAGAAATCCTCAGCCTTGGACTTGAGTTGCCAAATTCTCATGTGGGAGAAATAAAACCTCCAAACTATCCTCCAATTCCCTGCCCTTGTTCCATAGTAGGTACTCCTTCCCCCAAGAAGCTACTACCCATGGTTATGAAATTTAAATATGTTAAACATGGACACGCCCCTCACCCAAATCAGGACAAAGACAGGTGGGGAGACTGGGGCCTGGTGAGGATACTTCCTGATAGTTTTCTTGCCTTCTCAGCCCAGGGTGTAGCTGGGACTGGCTGTGAGGCTCCTATTTCTAAGGCACTTGTTTTCTCACAGATTCTACCATTTAATCTATAGTAGAGCCAGTCAAGCTGCTCTATTTCCAGTTAGCTTTTTGAGTGCTGGCTGGGCAGGGGGTTGACCTGAAACACCCATGCCTTCATTTCTTCTATACTCATCAGCCCTGTTGGCCAGGAGTGTGGGGTTCTCCTTCCACTCAAGATTAAAAGACTTTCTCCAGCCCTGGTCGGTGTGGCTCAGTTGAGCGTCATCGTGTGCACTGAAAGGTTGCGGGTTCGATTCCTGGTTGGGGCATATGATTGAGTTGTGGGCTTGATCCCCCATAGGTGGCATGCAGGAGGCATCCAATCAATGTTTCTCTCTCTCCCTTCCTTGTTTTCTAAAAATCAATAAAAATATTTAATTAAAAAAAGACTTCCTCCAGGTTTTGTAACAGCTTGTACTTTATTACATATGCAACCCCACTATACCTGCCAGTTGCTCCCCACTCCCTCCAAAGTATCATCTTCTTGATATCAGCCCCTTCTTGAGGTAACTAAGCTATCCCTTTCTTTCTGGGGCAGAACAGATGGGAGTCCCTAGAGCAGGCAGTGGGCAGGGGGAGAGCTACAATTAATCATCATAGTCCTCTTACAGGTATTTAAACTTAAATCAGCACCCTTGGGGGGTTGTAAAGGGTTTTCAGAAAGGATGGATGAAGCTGCCCCTCGTCCAAGGTACAGGTTGGAATGAACTAATGCTGGTCTATCTTGGGCCTCAGAAGGTGGAGCAGAGGAGCACGTTCTGGGAGTTAGTGTGAGTGGGGCATGTCTTCCCCAAACTTGTTCTGGTGGGCGACGTTCTTCACATCTAGGAGAGTCTGAGGAGGAGGCAAGAGACGGTTGGTAAGAGCGAGTGAGGACCCCCTCTACCTCAGCCAGGAGACTGCCCCCACTCCAGTCCTCAACCACCCTGTCTCCTGGACTAGCCCACATGCAGAAGGGCCTCCATTCTCCCCTTATCTGATCACAGAAGGTGTGTGTGTGGCGGGAGTGAATGTGTACACATTAGAGGCTCTAGCCTAGGGCTTACCTGGTGGTGAACATAGGCCTGACATGGGTAACACCAGGTAGACAGGTCAGTGTAGCTGAGGACCAGTGGGTGGCCCGAGCTTTCATGGTGCTGCATCATATGGGCATTGATGTAACGGCTGCAGTAGACCTGAGGTTAGGAAGTGAATGTTGGGCAGGGATCAGCACCCACCTGTGGTTTGTTCCTGGGCCAACCTCAGCCCCATCCCCATTCTCTGTTGCATACCTCATAGCAAGACAGACACACCCAATTCTCCTGAAGTGCTCCACAGTCCTGACAAGGTTGGGTCACATCCAAGCCTGCTTCAGGAATGAGGTGTACTGCCACCAAATGGGGACACCACAGCAGTGGTGTCACGGCATAAAACATGGCCTGGGGGGGGGGGGGCATGGACCAGGTGGGTAAAACAGAGTAAGCTAGGGACTTATCTCCCCATTATATGTCCCCGTGTCATATGCTCCTACCTGGAGGTACAAATGGGTAAAAAAAATAAGGAAGCCACAGTTCCATCCACGCCCTGAGCTCACCTGGTCAATGTCCCCAAAGGCCTGCATTGGCACCGAATCATCCACGT